GATGTGTGAAGCCAACAGAAAGGAATTGGAAATCATTGGTCAAGCCCCTGGACCAAGTGGATGCTTGAAGTTTGATGCAGGCAGCTCTACAAAATTATGGTATGATAAGAAGAAATCAGTTCCTGCAATGCTGGTGATGACAACAAGAACAACTAACTGATCTTTGTATAATGTTTCATAATTTTCAAGGCACTTCATGAGCATCATTTACTTTAACTCCTGAAGTGACAATAAGACTTCAGTTGTCCTAAGACCCATTTTAAGGTGTGAGCTTTTGTATTTTCCTTCATCAAGCCATTGGTGTATATGTTAGTTCATTTTCTGTCACTGTAACAAAGTACCCAGGACTGGGTAGTTGATAGGAAAAGATATTTATTTTGGCTCATGGGTTTTTTGTTTTTATTTTTGTTTTTGTTATTTTAATGTATTTGGTACAGAGTCTCACTACGCAGCTCAGATTTGTAGTGATCCTCTTGTTTTCAGCCTCCCCGGCATGGGATTTCAGACATGCATTGCCATGCCCAGACTCAGTGGCCGGCCCAGCTTGCCTGAGGGTGAGGCCAGCGTGGCATATGTGCCAGGAATCAAACCCCAGTCCCTGAGCTTGCCTAAGCAGGCACTTAGTCTGCTGAGCTATCTCGCGGGCCTTGGCACATGAGAAGTTAGGCAATCCAAGAGCATGCGTGTGCTTTACGTTGCTTCAACTCATTATGGAAAGCAGAAAGGCAAGTGTGTGGGGCAGAGACAAGCCATGAAGGATGCCTTTACTTCATAACTCTCAGTCCCCCGAAAGTGAGTGCTCCCTTTAGTATGAGGCTAATCCCTCTTGTTAATCTAAGAATATTTTTCATTTTTTAAAAAAATTTTTTGGTACTGGGAATCAAACCAAATCAGACCACTGAGCTGTCTCCCTGGCCCAATCTAACTTATCTTAAAGTCTCTACCTCCCTACTCTGCCACAACAGTCATCAAATTTCAGTGAGTTATGGAGGAGACAAACCAAGCGCAAGCCATAGCGCAGTGGCTTCAGCGGGCCTCACTGAGATGCTAGCTTGTGCTGTATGATGGCTCAATCGGAAATGACCCTCTGAGGCAGAAAGGCACAATGAGAAGTTATAAGCTCTCTCCTGAGACTCTGTTTTCGTAAGTTAGCTAAGCCAGTTAGAACTACAAACACCCTCCTTTCCTTAGCATAGGCGTCTTGTTTCAGCGGAATATTGCCCGGCAGTAAGACAGAGTAAGCAAATTATCCCTCAACCGGTGTGTGCCGTCGATCTCAGAAATGTGCTCCATTGCTACTAAGCTTGCTTGGGACATTACTGCCTTGGAACCACAGCGCTTCACTAAGGTAGGGTGGCGTGTACTCAAAGTAATCTTTTTAAAAGCAAAAATACGTTTCATTACAAACATAATTTATGCTTATATTTATTGTAAAAAGAAAAGTTAAAACACAGAAAGGAAAAAGATCAAAATAGAAGTCAGGCATAAACCAAACAATCTGTGAAATCCACTAGTAGAATGTTAGGCTTATCACATATCTTTTTCATTTTCTACCATCAAATTGATGTAACCATTATTCAGTTAGCTGATTTTACATCTCTTAGTTCATGAGCACTTGCCCATGTTATTTATCTGTGTAGTATTCTGTCATACGTTTTCCATCGCATTACTAAATGCTCACGTGACTTCCAGCTCGCTCTTACGCAGTTCATGCTGTGATGACTATCTTGGCACACGTGTGTTTTACTTTGTCCTAAAAAACAGAAATGTAAGGTTGAGGAAAGTGGACAGCTTAAGAACTTTTTTCCACACTGCTATCAAATTTCTCTTCAGAGAGAGACGACCTCCAGCAGTGCAGGTGAGGCCCACTTTCTACACCCGCATTGTCAGTGGACATTGTGTCAGTCAGGAGTCAGCTAGGAAACTAGAAAGCAAACTGTGGATTTCAGGAGAGGCAATCGGATTGGTTTAATAGGCATCAAGGGCTGAAAATGCAGAAAGGAAACACTGAGAAAACTCAGAGACAGTAACTTCAGGAAGCCTGTCTCATCCCTTAGCTAGGACTGGAAACAGAGATGGAATTGTGGCTGTTGAAGACTGGCGCTTTCAACAGGGAACCCCTTTGGGACTGAAACACAGCTCTCTGAGAAGCCTGAGCTTCTTGTCGCTCTTGGCATCATGAAGTTCACAGGAAATCTCCGTGGGTCTCTGCTAAGTCTCAAATCTCTGCGAGGCAGGTGTCGCCTGGTTGCGAAGGGAATCATGTAGCCAAATCTGGCTGTGTGAGAAGACTAGACTGGAACAACTACTGCTGCCGGAGTGAAGACCTGAAGACCCTGGGCATAGCGACAAGCAAGCAAAGGGGGCCACGGCCTCCTATGTTCCCGCCTTGCTTTCTCCCTCTACGCCTCCTATTGACAAATGGAAGGTAAGATTTGCAGAGCCGTGGCTACAACTTCACAGAACCATCAGAGAACGATAGCAGCGTAGCAGAGATACAAGAGCCTAATAACAAGACAGAGATCATAACATTTGAGGGCTTTACTGGTAATTTTTCCAATACAAGTCATTCAAAACAAGTTACCTATGACATTAGTTAATATGGTATCTTGGGCTGGGGAGATGGCTCAGTGGAATAAGTGCTTCCTTGGCAAGCGCAAGGACCTGAGGTCCTGAGTTCAATCCCTGGTTCCAAAAAAAAAAAAAAAAGGTATCTTGATGACCACAGTTTTATAAAACATACAGATCTGATCAGATTGCACTAAAATAGATTTAAAAATCAAGACACAAGTTACTGCTGAATGACATTTATACAAAGTACTTCTTCTGGGTTGAGTGCTCTGCCAACAGGTCAGATAGATTACCTCAATCATCTTACAGATGCAAAAAATTGAGGCTGAAAGAGGTTACACAAACTGCCCAAAGTCGCAGCTTCAAAGAGTACTGAGGATGGAATTTTTATGGCCAGTTTCTCTTAAACAGTCGGATAAGGCTGGGCTCCTACTTCCGTGTCTGTGCTACCACCCTGTCCCCTTTGCTATTTAGGCGGCCTAACTTTACCACGCAGGGATCACACTCTGGGCCTGAACACAGCAGCTCCGCCCCAGCTAGACATTTGCCTCCTGTGTGCCATGTGAGCACTTAGTAGCCAAGAAGTTACTCAGTAACTGCTGAAGTTTTCAGCTCTTCATCAACCAAACACCTAACAGTCAGGTCCAAAAGGGGTGCTCATCTTCAAAGGATGATCTCTGGCCAGCAACCACAGATTCCTGGCATTGAAGAACTGCACTAAAATCCATTCCAGATGTTTGAATCCCCTCAGTAACATTTTAATAAACAGTCACCCAGCATCTATTTAAACTCTCGTGATCTGCACTGTACCAGTATTCAAAGCAGCTCTCTGTGCTTCCGACAGCTGTAGTTACTAAAATGTCCTTAGTTGCAGAAAGCTGAAATCTATCACTGTGCTGCCTATACTTGGAAATTTCTTATTTTACTTTTCTGAGCTATAAAATGTGCTTTTGGGGTGCCTGAAATTCCCCTTGGTGGTGTGGTGAGATGCTCAAGTGCTGCTATAGGCAGCAAGTTCCCTGATTCTTGGGTATAGCTCTGACTTGTTAATGGGGAAGGGATGCGCGGAGAAAGACTCCCTGCTGGTTGAGAGCACAGATCTTTAAAAGCAGACAAATTGAAATTTGAATCCTGGCTTAATCATATCCTAGTTGTGACCATATGTGAGCTCTACAACCTTGATCAAGTTGTTTCAATAAATGCGCCTCCTGGTCCCAACCCTACAGTGTATCAGGAGGAGTCAGTCAGCAAAGGGTTGTGGGCACTCGCCTTGGCCACACAGGTGTGTAAGAGACGAGCTATAGCCAGGCGTTGTGGCTCATCCCTGTAATCCCAACCCTGAGGGAGCTGAAGCTGGAAGATCGTCATGAGTCCAAAGCCAGCCTGGGCTACATAATGAGTTCGAGACCAGCCTCAACCATACAGTGAGACCCTATCTAGAAAGAAAGAAAGAAAGAAAGAAAGAAAGAAAGAAAGAAAGAAAGAAAGAAAGAAAGGCAATGAGATCTATAAAGTGTGTTAATAAATGCCACAAAGTTCATTTTGCATAGAAAGCTAAGAAATAGCTCTTTATGGTAGTATAAAGTCATTATTCACTCTTCCCAAAAAGATTTATTTTAGAGTTATATAATATAACTACACTCTGGAAAAATTAGCTTACTGAAGAAAAAAGATATATTGCACTTGAAGTCAGAAAAACTGAACTTCAGGTTCTGTTCAGCTCCTCATTCTGTGATCTTAAGTTATGGTCCGAGTGTTAAGTTTTTATGTATAGAATGCTTATAGAATGCTGCCACACAGGGAACATGCAGCCAATGCCTCTCCCTACGGAGCAAGTAGAAAGAGCAGGACAAGCACCAACAAGAAAAACACAGTTCAGGGTGAAAATAAAAGGTGACCAGCAGAAGGGGAAACACAGTAATTCCTTTTATGTAAGAACAAAGCGATCACAGGCAACACGCAACCCCCATGCAAGTGACAGACAGGATTATCTCCGACAGGATGAGGATGCCAGTGAGTCTAATGTTCAAAAAGGATCAATAAATAAAGACAGCAGAAGGGCTATAACAATTCAGAACTATAAGTAATTTACACACAATGATGCTTCCCTACCTTCTTCTTAAGGCTATTCTGAGGAGCTGAGGAGCTTATGCTTGGAAAACAAAAAGTGCTATACTACTTCCATTAAGATCTGCATATAGGAACTGAACAGAGACAGTGATTCCTTCAGCAGGAAGCTGTTACTGGGGCAGTGACCTTAAAGCCTTGCCCTGGCTTCAGAGTCTGCCAGTAAGGTGGCATCAGAGCTCCCCCTCACTCCCAGAGTCACCACTGGCTGGCACAGCCAGCGCCAGAACAGTGTCTCCCCATGGACCTGCTGCAGACAGCCCACTCCGGCCCACGGAAGAAGAGACCCAGGCAGACAGGTGCCGTGGTGGCCTCAAGTCCTCACAATGTCCTCTTTGGAGATTTGGTCCTCTTCATTTTGGAGAAGAAGATGGGAACCACGCGCAGAGCCTTCCTCATGGAACTGGCCCGAAGAAAAGGCTTCAGGGTGGAAAATGAGCTCAGGTAGGGTAGCACTCCTTCACTCTGCAGGTGGGCAGAGGCTTTGTGCACAGCCCCTTGGCACCCAGGGAGCCGTGTGGAAGAGCTGGGGTTTCCACTGACCGAGTAGAGATCTGCAATCAAAGAGCAAATCTGACTCAATTCAGGGAAACAAAATGAGTGGACACTGGAAGTAATTATATTAAAATGAGTTGGCAATACAAGACAAGGTAAACTATTTTTGCCTTATAGTATTATAAGATGAGTTACTTAAGAGTGCTAAACAGAAAACTAGTGGGGAAATTTCATGCTGATCCACTTAATTTCATTCTTGACCAAATTGAACAAAATATCACAGATCTCAATCAAAAGATGTCAGCTACTTCAGGCAGGAGCGTGAGCTGGTCTCCCGGCTCTTCCTTAAACATCTGGCTGTGCTAAGGTGGCTGGTGTCTTGTGGGCTGGGCTAGTGACCAACTGCTTACCACGGGCATCTAGAGGTGACCTTGATTCTGCTTTCCTGAGGGACAGTCCAGGTGGGGCTCAGGGAGGGGTGCTAGCTGAAGGCTCAGTGACCGTTTTTCCAGGAGTTATGGACACCACACTCACAGATGGATCAGAGCCCAGGCCAGGAGGTACTCAGCTGAAGCCACCACTGGACCGGCTAGGCTGGTTCCCCGCCCCCAGCCTGCTCATCCTACACATTTCGTGGTTTTCCTATCAGCTGTTTAAGCTCTGCTCTACTCTCAGATAGATACAGAAAATTAATCCAGAGACAAGTGTTGTAAGAACCTTCACATAAATGATGGTTCCAGACAGAATGGATGGGGCCTCGCGATGGGGACCGACACAGGTCTAGGCCACTTCCCTGCTATCACCGTGCAAAAAACAGGTTGATCCCAATTTTTTTTCAGGAAAAATTACAAATTTCTATGTAAAAGACGTTTTTATTTTTTTTAAAAAAGTCTGATATTTAAAACGTAAAACTGTGAAGAAGTTCTTGCTAATTAAATGTCAGCTGCAAAGCATTGGGAAGACATTTCCAAATAATTAGATGTGCTAAATCTTACAGCGCTATAACTCATAAGCAAATGCCTTAGTTTTTCTTTTGCTTGATGGTCCGTTCAGGAACTCCTGAACTGCTCCTGTCCCTCCGCATCTTCTTGCCCTCTGCGCGCGGTCTCCTTTTCTGCTCCCTCCCCCCGCCTTAAGCCCCTGCCGCAACCTTCAGGCTCATTCCCAACAGCCTTGCCTGGAGCTCTCGCGTTTATCTTGTTGTTCATTCTGCCTCACCGCTCAGATTTACAGCGTGTCGAGTTAGGAAGGGTAAAGAGTAAGTAGGTGCAGAGGCAAACGCCAGAATTTTTTTTAAATTAAAAATAGAAATTAAAAGGCTTACCGAATATTTAACTGTCCTTCATAATTAAAAAAAAGAAACCAGCAAGGCTGGAGGCTGGCCCGAAGGCTAGTTGTTTGGACAGGACACCGCGCACAGGGAGAGCCCTGGGGTGGTCTGCGCTCCCGCAAGCCCCCTCGCTTACTCACAGCCGCAGACGGAATCCAGACCCGCCGCCGCTAGGCAGGCCCTAGTGAGCCGCCGCCGTAAGAGGCACGTTTCTGCGGTTCGCAGGACAGCCCAAGACAGTCCCTGGCCCAGAGCCTGCTGCGGGACCGAGCCCAGCCGTCCAGGCTGCAGAGGAAGCAGGGCGCGGGCAGCGAGCTGCGGCTGTGCATGTGACAGGCCCCGGGCTCCCGGGCTGCGGCTCAGAGAACACATTAAACACTCGTGCTCTGGGAGCAGAAGAAAACCACAGGAAGCCGAAGCCCACGGTCTCAAACAGAATATCCGTGCAGAAGTGTGTGCACTTAAATTGTAAAGGAAAATAAAAATCGTTGAAGGAGGAAACCTAGAGAAAAGAAAGCCAGACAGCGGTCCCTGAGAAAGGTAGAGACTCGGAATCCTGGCTCTGAGCCTTCGCAGCCCGGTGGCTCCGGGCAGTGTCCCCTCTTCTGTGCCTGATCTTTGTTTCCTGATGAAGGGACGATGGATGTCAGTGCACTGTCATAATTTTAAACAGTAGCTCAAATGTAAAGTATGATTATTTTCTTGTTAATGACCTGAATCCATTGATATATACAGCAAAACTGTAAGGAAAGGGTTCTCTCTGCACAGTAGAAAGTAGGTCAAATGATAAAAGCAAACAGAACAAAGACAGGCAGGAAACCAACGCGTCCCAGGTCCCAGAGTCGCAGGGAGGTCAGATAATGACTGTATCTAAGCTTTGTGTTCTCCACTGGCTGTTACCGTAAGCATATATGTTACAATAACAAAGAAATGGTGTTTAAAAGAAAGGACAGTTTTAACAGCTATAGTTCAGTGTATAAAATTCATATCTCAGCTATGAAAAAAAAGAAACTGCTGTGATGGAGAAGAGGTAGCAACTTATCCTTCCGAGCACACGCATGGGAGGATTCGGGAACAGCCTGGCGCCGGCTTTACCTGAACCCGAGCGCAGACAGCAAACGTGATGGGTCTCGGTTCACTGCGCAGGCTGTGACTCTTCCTTCTCGCTGGCACGTATGTACCATATGGGGGGGGGCTTCATTAATAATCCGGTTACCTTGCAAAACACATGCCATCTCATGGACTATAAGAAAACTGTTCCTTTTTCTTTTCTTTCTTTCACTTTTTATTTATTATTAACGTATGTTTGCCTTCCTAGTGTGAAGCTGGCACACGGGTGTGACACATCTGTGTCCTCTTGTCATCCCTGCTCCCTCCTCTCTTTGTCTTTTGGCTCCTTTCTCATTTGAAAAGATCTCTCTCCCTACTTCCTAGAATCTGTATTTATTTTGCCCTTTATTTATACTTTATATTCCTCGCATCACAGAAACAATGTCATATTTACGATTGTGCGTCTGGTGTATGTCACTTATTATGTTCTCAAGGCCGGCTGGGCCTTTTTTTCCAAATTTTTCCACGAATGACTCAGTTCATCTCCTTTTCAGCCCGGTGGTGCTCCGCTGCATGTCGGCCCCACACTGGCGTTACCCATTCTCCTGGCAATGGACACGTAGGCTGCTTCCGAGATTTAGCTGTTGTGAATTATGCTGCAGTACACATGGGTGTGCATTTACTCCTATCACAGGACATGGGCATATTAAGTCCTTGGGGCAGACGCCTAGATGGGGAATAGATGGATCTAATGGAATTTTTACTTTTCGTTTTTGACGAATCTCTATACTGATTTCCCCAGTGGTTGTATTAGTTTATGTTTCCACTGACAGTGTGGAGGGGGTCCCTTCTTCCCCACAGCCTCACTAGTGTTGGCTATTAGTTGAACTCTTGATGATAGCCATTTATTCTGCGGGAAGATGGAATCTCAGTGTTATTTTAATTTTTGTTTCTTTAATGTCCAGTGATGTTAAACATTTTTTCATGTGTTTATGGGCCAGTTGTACTTCTTTTGAGAAGTGTCTATTCATTTCATTTGCCTGTATCATAATTAGGTCTTTCATTTTGGGGGTGTTCAGTTACTTTTCTCTTTGCAAAGTCAGACTACACAATATCCAAAGTTAGAGGAGGAAAGGCTTATTTCAGCCCACAGTCTGTAGAGGCTTTAGTCCGTCTTCAGCTGGCTCCGAGGCAGGGTGGCCTGGCACAGGGCACCACAGTGGAGGAAGCAGTCCTTGGCAAAAGCAAAGCTGCCCAGGAGAAGCAAAGGAGCTTCTTTCCATTCTTTTAGGTTCTGTCCAAGCTGCCCAGCTTTGGGGAGGTGCCACCTACACCCAGGAGAGGGCACCCCTAATCCCAGCATCACCCTAATCCAGCCACCTTTGGGACACATGTAGGGACAACCGTAATGACGGGGGCAGGTCAATTTTTTGAGTGCTCATTGATTCTAAATACTAGTCCTTTTTCCGAGAAATAGCTGGCAGAAATGTTTCCTCACTGTGTGGATTGGCAGTGTCGGTTGGGTGTGTCTTCTGCCGCGCAGAGGCTCTGTGATTTGCTATGAGATGCCCTCTGTTGATCCTTAGTAGTCTTTCTTGTGCCTTTGGGCTTCTCTTCAGTCCGTCCTTGCCTATGCCTGTGTCTTCAAGAATTTTACCTATTTTATCTTCCAGCATACCAAAATGTTCCATTTCAATATTTAACTCTTTGAGCCATTTTAACTTTAGTGTAGTACATGGTGAGATAGATGGGTCTAGATGCAATCTTCTGCATATGAACAGCCATTTGGAGAAGATGGTTCTTAAAACATAAATCAAAAAAGGTGTCAAGACTCTTGGGGAGCTTTGGTGCACTGATGAAGAAGGATTCTGAATTTTATGCATACCAATACCCTAAATGTTAGAGCACGTCGCAGTGTTTCCTCACTTACGGCGGGCTGGAGAAGGATCGAATCCACCACTCGCCACTTCCTTATTTCATCCTGGTCTCTAGTACATTGGCTTTGTTCCACCATCAACCCTTTTCTGCGACTACTTGGCTGAATTCCCCTTTGTCCCTTGAGCCACACTTTGATGCTGAGGCAGAAGGACCTGCGGCCACAAGCACGGCCTCCCCACTGACACCTGCCCATCGGCTTCACGCTCGCTAAGTTCTGTTGTTCAAGCCACTCGAGACGCACTGGATGACACTGTCCACTCACCAAGACCTCCACCAAGACCTACTAGAGTAGAAGGCGTTGTCTCTGATGAACGGGAGCGCAGCATCACTCGGTCATTAACAAGAAGAGCTCTCCTACTTGCCGCTGTGCATAATGCCTGGCAGGCTCTGGAAATGCAGACCAGCTGAGGACATAAGTCCTACAAGTAAGGAGTTTGCACTCAGCCCAGTGAGTCAGAAATGTGTCTTTATTGTCACCTCACCTGAAAAGAGAGCAAGCCATATATCCCAAGTATGTACTCGTCTGTGTTTTAGAAACAAAGAATAAAAAAGAGAGAGCTGGGTAGAAGAGAGACAGAGATAAGAGACAGAAACTGATATTCTTCTCTAGCTTCAGCTTCATTTGTACTAT